TAATAGAATTAAAGGAAAGTACATGCCGATTTCTTGCTATTTAACTAATTAAATCATTTGTTCCCTCGTCGAACTAACGTCGACGTGAAACTCAACTTCCCCGATCGCTTACAGATGACCTCGAAATGACGAAAGTTTTCCCATCAGAATCCTAAACACTCCGTGTCTTCACTCTTCTTAAAAATACCTTAACCTGCGCTGAAAATTCTAGACACTACATTAATAATTATCATAAAATTTCATTTAAAAATCAATTTTATCACGATAATTCAAATCACAAAGTCGTGAATTTTCTATAATGCATCGACACGTGGAGTTCTGTCGCTTAATTAATGCAAGGTGTTTCTTTATGTTAGTTGTGAAATATATCATTGATACTTTAGTAGAAAATAATGAATATTTGTTGAGAAAAACATTCTTGAGTGCAAAGGGTTAAGCTTTGTATGACGCATCAATACATGGAATATTGAAATAAAATAACTTTCCTTCTCAACTTATATATATTTCCTCGTTAACTAGTTTCAAAGAAGTCTGTATCTCATCGAAGAATATTGAACACTTCCAGTGAAAAACGTTCGAGTGCAAAGGGTTAAGAATGCACCGATCGACGAAACGAAGGCGACCAGCGTTCGACTTTCCCTTAGCTAAGATTATTCTTACACTTACCAGTATTTGAACTGGTCGTTGCACCCTTATCGCAGGTTCCATCCACGCCCTCCGCGTCTCGGCCTCACCGACTCCGGGGATGCGAGCCGGCGTTCCACCTCGCGAAGGTCTCGCCGCGCGGTAATTAGGATAGCCTGGTTGGAATTACGCTCGGCCAATTAACTAGTTAGGAATAAATTACCTCCTTTACCTGCCGCGTTGGCAAGGTTACGTAAGCGCGGCTATTACCACGGTAACTGCACCTCCAGGCTCCCCGGCGAGATATCATTACCGCCGATAGTTTTCTTCGCTTTGCGTCATCGGCGCGATTATGCGACCCGGCTCGCGCGCCGGACCATTTTTCCCTTCTTTACACCTCCTCCCTTCGTCCCTTTCCCCGTCGTTCGACAAGGGAAAAACTCGAACTGGTCGGCCGTTCGATTACGATGCGCCTCTGCGGGATGCGGCTTGTAATCCGATCGCTCGACTATCTTGCACTTGCAGCTTACGGATGTTTCGCGCTGGACGCTCCGTATCGAAAGACCGGTTTCTTCGAAGTTTCTTCAGTTTGACTGTTTGAAATCCACGCGCCGCTTTCATGTCGAAAAAATAGTGCATTTGAAGCATACGGCGCACTAACTGGTGAAACGCGCGCAACTTTTCAGTCGTGTGCACGTCGCATCGCTACTTTTTTTGCGTATAAGTAATCCAAGTAGTACATTTTGTATTTCGTTGTTAACTATTATAAATTAATAGAATTACAATGTCCTCGTCAGACCGGATCAGGAATGATTAGCATTTCCTACTACGAAATTAGGAGGTAACGAAAGGTATTACGGGATGGTTAATGAAAGGTTTGGATTGATCGAGTAGAGATAGTTGTCTGATGGGAATGAACAGTAATGGTTGCATGTTGATCTTATGTAATTAATATATATATAATATAATATAATATAATATATTAATTATACAAGATGAATTATTAAGATTAATATACATAATTAATAATATTAACATAGATTTTCTCGACAACAGAATAAAAGGAGCGCCATCGCGCCGCTCGGATCTTTTCGCATCCCATTCAGAAAGCGCTGTTGCACTGTTCGGCTTTTTTCGGCCGTGTTTTTTAAACCACTTAACTGTGTTTGACGTCATGGAGAAGTTGCAAGATTTTGTGTCACGAGTATACTCTACTTAGTATTTCTTAGAAGAAATTACGCGGAAATTTATTCGACGCGTCGTTTCGAAGACGATAAGAGTAAAAACGAAATCAGTATCGCTTAATTTCAACAATGTCCTCCATCGATCTCGGAAGATCCGTCAAGCCCGCGCCATCTCTTGGCAAAGAATCGGAACAGAAAATCATCGACATCGATCATTACATCCGCCCTCTCTGGAATCGAGTGTTATGATATTCTTAGTCGTCACCGAATTCAATGGAATTCGGCGAGACGGTGAGATTGTATCTACAAGAACCGTAACCGTAATTGTAAATATTGAACCACTCACGAGGAAAGTGCACGTGAAATTCGAAAAACTCGTGTGGTTAACCCTTTGCACTCGGAAGTTTTTCACCAGAAATATTTTAACATCTTCTGACGAGATAAAATCGATATTTTGTGAAAGTCGACGAGAAATCACACGTACATTGAACAAAGCTATTTTATTTGAATATTTCTCAAAATGATATTATAGGAAATATATTAAATATCAAATTTTATAGTTTTACTGTATGAAATCAAGTGGTGAATAAGAGTCACCTCGAGTACAAAGGATTAATCATATTCGAATTGTTATACGCCTAATTCCACCTATGACCACGACGTAGCATCGAAAAATCCAAAAATATTCCAACTGTCTCTCGTATACGCATTCTCCGATAAAAACTGCAGTTCCCAATTAATCAATTGTGTTTCGCATCACAACCGAAAGCTGTTGTTACATAAAAGATCTCGCTACCTCCGGATACAATGAGAATTTCCGTCAATCACAGATCAAGTTCATCGTCTCTCGGAGTTCCATCGGAATCCTCTATCTGTCTTCATCGTAAATAAAAGTATCATTCGCATAAAAACGGAACCGATGACTTGTCCGAAGGAGGATCCACGTATCGATCCGGCCGTACGCCTATTAACCGAGCCTCCTATTGGTCGCCTATATTTAACCCGGCCGCTATTATGCATACAATTACATCACGGCCCGATTAAAATAGTAAATCCGCGAAGTTCATACTTGGAACGGGGTTTGCTCGCCGCGCGATAAGCCCGGTGCACCGCACAGCTGCACCGTAACCGTGATAACGTTATCACCACCTCGGCCCGTGTCTGCAAATATGTTTGCGCTCTTAAACGCCCGGCAGCCGAGGCTCCATTATATTATCCGACTTGTTATTCGGACGACTATTTGTCCTTCCTGGCCTCGGCGCATCGTTTTCACGCGGCTCGCATCGTCATTCGCGTCGCCAATCTTTCCATCCAACGGCACACACGTCCCATAAGTCACCCGACATCTGATTGTTCCGAAGAACACACGGTTTGCGATGCACTCCGTGATCTTCCGGTAAATGTGTCTCGCCGCGCGACGTTCCTCGCGCATCGTCGAGCTTAGAAATGGCTGCTCCCGCGAGGACGAGAAGTTAGAGGAACAAGGGCCGACGTTGTCTTTGATGCATGATCCGTATTAGCAATAAAGAAAATAAAAAACAAAATTCTCTGTCGTTCCGTCTCACTCCTCCTTCGTTAGACTTCTCGTCTTCGCGCGGAACTGCCAACATTTCTAAACCAGACGGGCACCGTTCGTTGCAGGAAACCTGGCATCTCCGTCTGAGTGGTCAGATTCGAAGACACATGATTGGCTGAGGCGCTCGCTTGACAGAGGGCGCGGAAAGTCGTTTCGGAGCAACGATTGTATCCACTCTGACGTCACGAGTGCCAAGTTCCCAGCAACTAACATACGTGCCTGGGTAAATGGATCTTCCACGACGTCGTTCGATGCCAGAATGCATTCGAAAGTAAACTCATTGTTCGACTGTTGAAGCCTACCGTGCAAAAAGTTGTCTGATCGTCCGTTCGCGCGACCGGATACGATTCGGACATCAATACTTCATTGTGCGATTCTTCTCCCGGTTTTTTTGTCGGTCCTTTCATTGTGAGGTGCATTCGAATGAAAATTATGCTGTCCACTCTTGAGTGTTTCATTGTCACGTCTGGTTTTCGCTAGGAAATCGTCCGTTACGCAAGCGGACGGAGTTCGTCGATAAATAATTCGTCGTGAAATTTTCGATCGAAGCGTTTCGGGTAAACATATTTTTCTTGCGCCGGCGATTCCGGCGTCGCGACGGACGCTCCTCGGGCCGGAACGAAAGTTTCGTTTCCGTTTGTACCGTGAAATCGGTCGCGAATAAGAATTCCGGCCGAACGACAGAAGATTTTCGTTAATCGCGCACCCAGGGATGTATCTCGTCGGACGATTGCGCGGACGCGTTCCTCCAAAACACGCGCGCGATTATCTTCGCGCGCTTCGGCCGTGGCTGCGCCAATAATTCACTGGGTTCACGACTTGCGTAATTAATTTGTATTCACTGGAGACGGCGCCGCCGATAACGCCTCTTGGCTCTCTCGTATTGTTCTGGATATAATTTTATTTTCGCTCAATTTATTTGCGTCACGAGAACGGAGTGTTTTGCGACGGAGAGCGGAGAGCGTCGGGCGTACTATAAACACGAATTACAAGGACAACCTAAATAAATAATCGTTACAGATTACTGTCTGGCGAACGAAAATTTGAAAATAACTGTTAGTTGGGGACGGGACTCGAGGTGTTCGTATCGTCTGAACTGCGTGGTTCTAAAGGGTTACTGAATCCTAATGGAACAATATAGTAACGTACAATAAACAACAATAAATCGAGCATTATAGAATGAAACTGTTGCACTGAACACCTGAAAATCATGGTAACAAAACGTTGAGAGTACATGTACCAGTCGGTTTCAATATTTTTAATAGAATTCCTATATAAACAATGTACAATACAAAATAATATAACTATTATAGTTAATAAAATACAATAACACAACCTTGAATTTTAACTTAATTACGGTGCACACGTATACTCGCCGCTAGATTCATAGACTATTATAGTTTCTCTCATCGAATCAGAAAAATTGTTCTTTCATTAAGATCTCAGAAATCACAGATGAACAAATAAAGAATTAATACGCACGCTCGTATAATCAAGGCAATGAAGAATCGACGTGAACATTTAACAAAATGTTTATAAAATTCCGCGTAGCACTAAATCAAGAAATCCTGGTTCGACGTCACGGCTAATTGTTATCCATGTTTTATCATTTTCAGGAAGGAGCCCGGCGTCCTCGATCGGCCGCGAAATTTCGCTTACGATGCTCCCCGCCACGTGAGTCATTTGTTCACCTTTATCTGCTTAAATTCGATCGGCACCGGTTGCGCAACGCGCCCGTTGTTTACAGTGGACCGATGACGTCGCCTTTTTATTTCGTTTCTTGTATTTTCGACGCGCGTTCCCGGGTGTAACTGACCTTGCCGCGCGATACGGATTACGTAAGATCGCGCCATTTTCTCCCGCGCTTCCCTCCTGTTCGTTCGTTCGGCTCGGCCGTCCTTTTTCTGCATTTCGGCCGACAGGGAGCCAACGCAACGGCCGCGATCAGATAACCGCCGTTTTTATTTTCCATCGACGGAGCCGACGATCGAGCCGGCTGACTTTGAACGTCCGCCCGTCGATCAATCTCTCGTTAACGATCAATTCAATATGCATTATCTGCAAGTCAAAGTCTCTCGTTAAATAACGGCTTCTCCTTTCAGCTCAGAAATAAACCACTTAATGCGGCGGAATTAACTGGTGCTTAAATAGCATCGGGCGCATCTGTGTTTTTAGTTTGAATCCGCTTTAAATCGGAATCGAGGGTTTGAGTAGTTTAATCGTTTAATAATGCGCGGCAAAAGATAATAATGGAAGGTAACTTAATCGTTTGTATTCCGAGAGTTTCTCACTGAGACTACTCAACATGCTTTCTGATGAAATGCAGCGAGTATTTCTTGAAACCGGCTCAACGAGAGATCGTACTTATTTTAATTTCAACTATTCACGCGTCGTACGAATGTTGAGATTCGATATTACACTTTTGCTGTACTGAAAGTGTGAAAGTGTCAAATTAATTTGAGTATCTTAGTTTCGTGTTATGTGTTTGTTATAGAAATTACTTTCATAGGAAATGTATCGTTTAACATTAGAACTATCATACCAGTCGAAATGACTGGTTTCGATTTTTTTGTTTAGCAATTATTGATATCTCTTAATAGTTTCATTTGAGTACTATAACGAATGCCTGAAGAAACTCAAAATAATCTATTGTTACAATATTTATAGGAATAGCATATTAATCGTATTAAATGCTCGGTAGTTCTAGTGTTAAACAAGTATTCTCGTGTCAATTGTATTTATTAATGAAGAGATTGTCGGTGAATTTTATTTTAGTCAGAATCGGGACATCGATTTTCAATTATCAGTTGATATTGAAGAATATCTTCCGCGAAGGACGTGCTCTTCATCGAAAAAGTAGTATAAACGATGACAGGAGCACTCTCGTCGTTTGATTCCCGACAAATAATCCACGGCGGGTCCATTCGGCAATATCCGCCGCCAAGATGGCGACCGCGCGAAGGTACGGGAACGGGAAGACCAAGCTAAACATCCTGACGGCGGTAAACAGCCATCGCCATGCGGTGAAAACACGAAATTTAGTTTATCGTTCGCCGACGTGGCGAAATTGCGGCGCACGTACGCGCCGAAACCGCGTCGATAATGGCATCGTTTATTGAGCGGCGGCCTTCGCGCGATCGGTTATCGTCCCGCCAGCCGAAAAATACCAGCCCGTGAAAAACAAAAGAATTCTTGCGGCCGAGAGCTAACCGTTTCCGGTCTGCGAGACGTCTTAATTGCCGCTCGACATCCGAAGGACTCTCAGATAATTCTTGAAAATCCTCTTAAATCGTCATTACCGCATCTGAATCACAATTTAAATCAAAATCATCATTCAAACACTCGTTCCAACTCAAGCATCAGCGTGAAGGTTTCTTCTTCCCCGATTTAACCGCGTCATCGTGAAAATATGCGTTTCGGTCGAAACTCCGCTGCGAGATCTTTGATTCCGTAAAGATCACATTGAAAATTGTCGTTCCTATTTACACTCGAAAACGATCAAGGTTCGAACTCAATTTCGAGTCTTATCCTATGGAATTAGATCCGAGGAAGATACTAGATCCAGTGAACTAGATCTCGAACAGCAACGTACCACCGAACAACTTCTGTCATTCGGATTGTAGACAATGAAAATAAGAAATTCGTAGCGAGTAAAGAGGAATCCCCGTTGACAATGGGACGTGATTCCACGAGAATCGTAATTGATTCTGATTACCGTTCGCGGCGACTTGTTAGCATCGAGGCTGACAGTCCACGGTTGCAAGGAGCGACTCGGCGAGGCGAAATGACGGTGACGGGAACCGGAAGCGCGAGAACCCGAAGGCCGACCGTTAGCACTCATTGAAACGTTTTCTGCGCGGCGTCCTCAGGAGAGGTCGATTCCGTTATCAGACCGGCGTCTGGCTCGCGTGTTATGAGACACAGGATGCGTCAATAACGTTTTAAAAATCCCGACCTACCCCACGGTTCGGCCGCCGCGACGGGACGGCCGATGCGCAGAACGTCCGCGGCGCGTTGCCCGACGGAACAACGGAGAGACTCACAGAGCAAACATTTCTCCTTGTTTTCGTCGGGCTCCGTTGTTCTTCGGAAGTGATGTCAACCTGGCGTGATTGCGAACGACGCGCTGTTATTCCGACGGCTCGGCTTTTTTCACCGAATTTTCGCGCCGAGATCGCGCGCGGACGGATACCACCGGAGGATAATATTTGGACAACGCTTCCGTGAACAAGGATTAAGGAAAGCTATAGCTCTGTACGCTATTCAGACGCGGCGAGCTGTCGAAACGTGCAACCTTTTCCTCGAATCAGACCTAATTTCATACCGAATCGATCATTTTGTAGGTAACTCAGGCGGAACTTCAATTGAAAGTTTCGCTATAGAAACTCCAAGAGTGCATCTGTTCAGACTTTAACCCTTTGCACTCCGTTGTCGCAGTAACGGCGACATTGCGAGATAAGTTTATAACTTCGTTTTTAGTCGAACGTAACTTTGAAATGTGTACGCGCTTTTTTAATGACAAAGTGAATGTGTTAACACTATGAATCGTTAATCGCTATGAATATTGCAGTAATAGATTATTTTCGGTTTCTTCAGACATTCATTACAGTATTCAAGTGAAACTATTTTCAAAATCATTTCGAATATTCAATGCTTCGAAGATATCGATAATTGCTAAACAGAAAAACTGAAACCAGTCATTTCGACTGTTACGGTAGTTCTAGTGTTAACGATAGAACTACCGTGCATTTATTGGGGTTCACGTGTAATGCTCGCAAAGATTCTAACAAATTTATTTCCGACTTCGGATATTTTTTATAATATTCAAGTGATACCATTTATCTTGAAAATCATTACAGATATTGAGTACTTCGAAGATATCGATAATTGCGAAACAGAAAAATCGGAACCAGTCATGTCGACTGTTACGGTAGTTCCAGTGTTAAGACCTACCCCAACCGTGTCTCGACTGTTACACCCGATTCTATCTCTCGCTCGGAACACGCTTAACTCCTAATTGCTTCCTCGTGTTTCTCCGTTGTCGTTTCATCGCGACGTTTTCGAATGTTCCCCGACTTTCGCCGGTCTCGTCGGATAAATCCGTTTCGGAGCCGCGACGGCCGCGTCCGTTATCCTTCGACGACCTTCCGCCTTTCATTCGGCGGCCCGTTCACGTCGCCTAGACTCCGTAGCACAAAGACTAAGAGCCGCGGCACACGGAGTCGAAAACACGATGACGCCACGGGGAAAAAAGTCTTATTAACATTGTTCCGTCCTCCTTTCCGGCGGTCAAAACAAGACGGAGATTCGCGCGTTCAACGGGACGGAGTGTGTAAACAGCTGGCCCGCACTGTTTACGGACAGTCATTTCGCGAAACGCGCGGTTTCCTCCGGCGTGATGTCAGCCGGCACGATCTCCTTTCCGTTTCGCCACGCTAATTCCGCCGATTTAGGCTGCCAAGGAATTTTCTCGGCACCGTTTAACCCCATGCATCTCGGATTTCTTTCGCATCTCCTCGATAATCCTGTTTTGTTACGATATTATCACTAGATTTACGGGCATTTATTGTCTTCATTCTATTATTCCTAAAAGAATCGATGATCGTTTATTTAGCTTGTGGAAACTGGAGATTCGATAGTAGGTAATTGGGGTACATGTCAGTGTGATCGCATCAATCAAAATCAGCGTAAACATTTGCAAAATAATATTTCTAAAATCCAATATGCGTCAATTTCACGCATTCCATAAACCTAGTGTTAGATTTGAAATGCATTTTACGAAATAGTTTGTAGAGAGCAGTGTAAACGATTCTTACTAATAATATTGAAAAGAATATAACAATATAATCTACTTGAAAAATATCTCACAAAGATGCGCACCTGTGAATAAAACTGACGTCGAGTCGAATCTTGCTTTTTTGTAACGATGACAAATCTTAAGTAGCCCATTCGCTGCTAACGTAAAATATGTGACTTCATTTGCAAATGAAAGCAACCAAGATTAAAGCAGCAATTAACCCTTGGCACTCGGAAGTTTTTCACTAGAAATATTTTAACATTTTCCGATGAGATAAAATCGATATTTCGTGAAACTAAGTCGACGAGAAATCACGCGTGCATTGAGGAACAAAGCTATTTTGAATATTTCTCAGAAGGATGCATTATAGGAAATATAATATTAAATATCAAATTTTATAGTTTTAATACGTTAAATGTGCCGGGTCACTTCTACGAATTTCTTTCTTGTCATCTATGTTACGGTATTTCTCCTCGGCAAGTAAATTTAAAATACTCCCAGTCCAGTAAGGGTTACTACATACACAGCGGTAAATCACGAATTTACAGGATAGTCGAAAATAAAATGAATATTTCACTCAGAATGAATGTTTGATTCGCGAGGTGTTCGTTTCGCGTAAGAAACGCCGAGGAAAAAAGACCGGTGGCTCGTAGCTGGAAAATAGTAACGGCCCTGGGAGCGAAAAGGTACCGCTCGCTCGTTAACCGGCTTACGGTATACGTTACGTAACACGCTTGAAATCTGACATAATACCAGCTACCGCGTGCGCGGACACGAACGCGCGCGCAAAGTTTAGCCGCGAGGCCGCGGAGCGCTTAGGAAATCGCAGAGCCATTCGCAGCCTCCGCTAATTAGATCGTTGCCGAAGGAAACGCTG